CCGTGAAAAAGAGGGTATGTCTATTAGACAGGCTGCTAAGCATTTCAATGTACCAAAGTCAACCATAGGAGATAGAATTAGCGGAAAACACGAATTACATGTCCCTAACGGCCGCCCTCCCCATATACCTAAAGCCATTGAAGACAAGATTGTTGATGCGGTAAAAAATGGCAGCCCGTCGAGGCATTGGGCTTACCAGGCAACAAGTCCTAAACAGAACTCTTGTTCTGACCAAGCGGATGAAGATAGGTGGAGGCTTCCCCAACTTCAAAGCTGGAAAAGGTTGGTGGGACGGGGTCCGGCGTCGCCATCCAGATCTAGTTATCAGGAAGCCGGAGAGATTATCCTCTACACGGGCAAGAATGATGAACAGAGAAGTGATCGGAAAATATTTTGTTGATCTAGGTTTGTCAATTTTATATAGGTCATGACATAATTGAACGCCGGCATGAGCTAGAACACTACCTTTGACGTCATTTAACAAATTACGTCAAAAGACGTTCACGTTGTAACTTATGTTATCAATGAAAAAGTAAATTATTGAAATGTTAAAGATAAATATGCGTTTTTGACAAGTTTTTTTTATTTATTTCAAAAGTTGAATAATTGTCCTTCTATAAGAATTCAATATGTCAATTTAAAAAAGTGACATTAAGGTTTGTTTTTCTCATTCCGGCGTTTATTCGTAATAATTTCCGCGAGAATTATTAAGTACATACAATATAAAAGTAAGTACTTTTAATATCGTTATTATTATTTATAAATACTCGCAGAAGAAATTTGCAACTCATTTCGGAAAGAGATCATCATAACTTCTAATTTCTCAGTAACCTAAAGAAGTTGTCCTATTTAACTGCACTTGCTTGGAAATTTGTCTTCAATAAATTGCATTCAAAGTGCAAAAATATGCAGTAACAGTTCACTACATCATCAAAGGGACAGACATTTATACGATAAATAGAGGATATTGAAACAGTTTAAGTTTAGTACTGAACTTACTATATATGGAATTTTAAGGAAAAGCGTCATGGCTTCAGACCATCTTAGATAATGAGCATTAAATACGAGGGTTGTTTTATATGAGACTCTGTTCATATTTTTTATTTGATACATTCAACAGTTATATACAATACATAATAACAAAGTCCATTTATTTCTGAATACAATCTGAAAATATCAAAGTAATCCATATAAAACAGTTTTAAAGTTACAGAATTTATAAAAACGTCATGTTTGCACTATCGCCCCCGCACAACAATATGTCGCGCCGTCAGTGACGTCGTTTGCGCAGTTAGCGTCGCTTTGATGAATGGAACATTCATAGCTTTTCAAAATATGCTTCCGAATGCAGAACACATCTTTGGTGACGTGCAACCCACTGATTGAAGATAATTTCTTCATACCACTCACTTGTTGTTAACTTTATAATACCATTTACTGCAGTCTGTGTCAAATTGCGCGCCCTTCAATTGAAGTTTAATATAAGGGAATATGGCGAAGTCAAACGGTAACATAATACATAAATGCATTGTTTTATAACAGATAGCTGATAATGTTTCATTATTTAATAACCTTAATGCATTTCCTATTTACTGATAAAAATTGAAGCAGGAAAATCTAGATTAACATATATTTTTATATCTGATATTTGTCCATATTTTAAAAAAATAAATGACAATTCTCGCGAGACTCATTTACACGAGATTAGGTCAAAACAAAATGATATTGTAGTTCCAGTAACCTGACCGGCCCTGTACTTCCGCACCTAACCAAGAACATTTTATTGCAAAAAATGGAGTATCCTATAGTGTAAATATCTGACATACAGTTAAATTTTAATAAAATACTAATTAAAAAAATGTTTTTCCGACCTCCCTAACCTACTATTTTTCAGCATTTTACCAGAACCTCAAGATCATTTTGTGTTGGCCTTATGACGTCAAACACACATGCCAATTTTTCCCCTCGAGGCCGGAGTGTAATAAATTGAACAAATTAAAGTGCACAACCTGTATTACTTAAAGCATACCTTAATTCGGTCCATATTGTGGCAATGTAAAACTTTCGGTTTCAAAGCTCGGATATATATTAATTTATTAATGGGTATAAAGTAGGTCATTTTATAAATACACACCATGTGGAGCATAAAGTCGTTCTAACTATTTCTATTGACGTATTATGTGTGGTATAGGGCAAGGCATTCTTTTATTCGGGCACCATACGCTGTTTTTTATAGAATCGCTTGAAATCGTCCTATTGAACGTTCTGTGATCACCGCCTTATGAATACATATGAGGATTTCACGAAATTACAAATTTCGCATTGTCATGTTTAAATGTTGAATTATGAACAAGTAGGTGTCATGGAGGCGTTGGCGGTAACTTACCAGCACCGTCCATGAACAGGCTAAATTAAAGTGATTATGTAATATTTTTCAATTTTGCCGTTTTGATCGTTCTTTAGGGTTTTTTTGTTGTATCGCTCGTGCAACTTGATAATCAGCTGATCTTTAAATTAATTATTAACTGTAATAATTGTTAGATTTGACTATGACTTTCAAAATATTTACCGTTACAATAGTGAAAATGTTTAGGATAAAGTATATATGCCTTGAGTATAAAAATCTGGAAAAAGAGTGGTCCCTCGGAAAAGACTGCCCCATTCTTTGTATAGAATGAAACTCTACTAATACAGATAAACTGAACATAATGTCACTTTATAAGTATATAAGCCGTATTTCGTTTAAAATTTTTAAACTTTAAATGGGAGGAATATGTATGATATTTACACAAAGCAATGAAATCAAGATATAAAACACAATACTATAACTCCGAATAGTTATATTTATTCATCTTGAAGAGCATGATATTAGACATATAATAAGACACAATAAAATACATACATTTTCTAACATAACTTTCATATAATGATGTAATGGTTAACAATAATTATATACATATCTATTATATTATAATAGAAAAGTCAACTGAAGCCATGAAACAGATGTAAACTTTATCTTATCAACTTTCTTATTATTAATCCTGAACCTGCTTAATTCATGAAATGGGTTTGTCTTTTTAAGTTTGGTACTGTCCATTTAAGTGTAAAATATTTCAGTATTAGAATAAAAAAATAGGTTTAATGCTTTTTTTTATTTACCAACGGTAAACAGACTGGTCAGACAGCTCGAATGTACATGCTGTATCGGCTGTATACTGATGGAAAAGGTTAATCACTTTATGGTCAGACAGGATATAAGGGTTTAAGATATTAAAATAACGTAGCGACATTATATCACTATTATTTGAACTAAAAGAAACTTCTGCAAATTGATATTTACAAACTAATGTATAATAATAAATACAGTCAACATTTATTATGATGATCAAAAACATATGATAACTATAGTTCAGAACATAACTACTTTACATGAATATAAAATTTTAGAAAAAGGGTTAACCAACGGAAACATTATTCATAATAAAATAAAATGGTACTTTGATTGTGGTGTACAATGATGATATTCAAATTCAACGCACGTGTGTCTAAGATTTAATAAATATATCAACTGAAATAATTGAAATCATACATATTGAATTGCCAACTCCCGATGTTAGTGATGTTAAATCTGTCTGCCATTGCATACAGTGACGGCATTTTAATAAGCACACTTCTTCCCAAAAATTCTTTTATAAGAATGTCTTTTTATTATAAGCTATAACATAAGTATAATTCCAGGATCCATCCATACATATAGCTGTTATGTTCTTGCTTCATTCTTTAATAGATATGTGTGGGACTGCGTGCTTGTGTGCGTGTGTGTGAATCTTCAATGTGCTTTAGAAGATTGTGCTGTTATATTGATATTTTGAATTTCTGCATTCTCATATTTCGACGAAAGTTATTTGTAACAACAAGAACTAGTTTATCACATGAGACACATACTCTAAATGGATTTATAATATCTATTCTGTACGATGATAAGATCTGACCTGTTTGAGATATCTGTACAATAGTGTTTGTTTTCATACTACATACCAAGATAGTATCAGAGGGACCAACTGCTGCACAACGCGGTTGCTGTATGCGGTCATCCTTCACTGCGACTCTCGCGTTTGTGTTGATATTATATATGTAGACTGTATGCTCGAATCGATCTGTAATAATCACTTTGTCATTGCTCTTTATGTAAATACAATCGCTTGAGTTTCTAGAATATGTCTTGTATGGAAATTCAAGACTATAATCAGGCTCCTCTTCTTTCAATGATACAATACGAACAGGTCTAGGATCATGATAAGTCCATACTACAAATTGTATATCATCTTTCAAACATATAGAGTAATATTCTGTTTTCACTCCACATGTCCTATTTGAAGTTATTTCATTACATTTACTAACATGTAGAAATTCTATTTTGTATCGATCACCAAATGTTATCGCTACTTCCTCCTCAGATACTACAACAACAGAAAATGGGGTGTTAGATAGCTGATGTGATCCTACTTTCTCAAGCTTCTCATTATACACTAAACATTTTTTATTTTTGTGATCCACAGCCACCAGTCTACCATCAGGGAAAAAATCTATGCCTGTAAAAAAGGATAATTGATATCACCTGATTCATCTCCCGTGTTCTTCAAAACACTGGAAGAAACTGGTTTTAAAGTCATCGCCTTGTCAACGGAATTACTATCTTCCTGGCGACAAAACTTTACAAGTAACTGTCCTGGAACATATTCAGTAACTGTTGATGGTGGCAGTTTTAATGTTTCGTCAAAATGAAAAGAAATGTTCACCTTATTTAAGTTCTGACATTCATCCTTGATGTTTCCGCAGAGAGCATTGACTTTACTTTCCATTTTTTGTTCTGCTATATATTTCTGCAAGGGAGTTCCATTTTTGAAAATATTTTCAATCGTCTCTAAGCACGATGTTACATCGGCCAAATGTTTCTCGTTTTGTGTTTGCTTCTTTGTCAGATATTCTAATGTTTCTTTCTAAAGTGTTTCAGCGCTCTTGACGACGGAATCTTCTAAATCATCAAACATTCGCATTACTTCGTCTCGCATTCGTCTAACTTCTATTAGTATTTCTTTTATATCTTGAACAAGTTTGTCTTTTGAAGAGCAAATGTGTCTTGCAATACCCTCAGCATCATCTCTAGCTTCCGACAATTTCTCCCCTAAGCCAGAACCTGATGACGTCATTTTCCCTGCAATTTTCTCAATTTCTACAACGCTATTACATTTCCGATGATTAACAATAGCACAAGTACTGCAGCACAGCTTCTTTTCATCTTCACAGAAGAATTCAAAAAGTTTTTCATGTTGATCACACTCATCTAAGGTCTTCATTTCAAAGAAAGTGCTAGTAAAGTTACCTTCTTTTAAGCTCACCAATTTATGAGTTTTCAAGAATGCGAGCAAGTTGTGTATATTTGAACAATCATAACATTGGAATTCCTTACAAGTTGAACAAAACTTGTCAGCTATAGTTTGTTTATCCTTATTTAAACATGGTTGACACAAATTTTCATTCACACAATTAGGACCTTCATGATACTTTCCTATATTTCTTCCACTTTCCGCCATTTTTTGTAACGTTTCTATTGTCTCTATTTGAGAAATTACATATAAACATGTATTTAAATCTCCAAGTCAATATTCAGCGACACTGTAATATAGCTTCACAGACTTAGAAATTTTGATATAACAAATCAGGTTTTTAAACTAATTAAACTAAATAAAAGGTCATGTAAGCCATTATATCTTGTTCAGATTTAAACGTTATCTGTCTAATGTTTACATGTCGTTGCAACAAACAAAAGTCTCAATATTTCGACTGAAAGACTAGCCAATTTTACAATATCATATTATGTCTCCACCAAAATGAACTGATTTAAATTTCATGTTTTTCTGTAATATGAAACTTTTCACACTAGCATGTTTATTTGTTGTTATAAACCATAAAGTGTAGTTAAAATAATCATAAATTAAAAAATAACTTAAATTACTTAAAAATAACATTGAAAAGTTACTGTCGATTCAAATATGATCGAGAATGGGAAATCTTAAATTTCAAAGTACATAGGGTGGCAGAAAACTAGCCATACACGAAAACGAATCACAAGGAAAAAAGATAATTGGATTTTAGATGGCCTGATAGTGTAGTGGGTATGGTGTTTGTTTAGCATGCGGATGGTCGTAAGCTCAAATTCCACAAGGGGGTAATACTTTTATTAGGCCTTTAGTATTATATTATTTATTTTATACTTTCTAATTTATTATTTTCTTATACATGTACATGTATATATATCTTTGTTTTTTATTCACGAAAATGCTATAAAAATAGGTTACAATTCAATTCAGTTCAATTATTCAAACCTCTTTGGCACACTCAGTCGCGCCGGCGCTAGCGTGTTCGTCTCCAGTGCCCAGAGTGTACCTCTGTAGGTGATTACCACGGAGAAATGGCAAGCTTTTCACCAAGTGGCTTAATCAAAAGCTAATCCTTAATCTGCTAGCACACACTGTCCTCGTAATAGACAACGCACATTATAACACTATTTGCGATGACCAACGAAATAGGTGCAAAAAGTGTAATGACGTCCTTCTAACAGCGCCATAACATACACCTCATCCTAACAGCACAGGACTTGCGCGCTCGCAATAAATAAGATGATTTTCGTTGCAAGCCATTATGTCACATGTAGCACAAAAGCTCAATTGAATACCTGTGCATTGAAAAACTATATTATTTAAAAAAAATGGAAATGCTGGGATTTGAACCCTCACCAGAATAGTTGGTAGACCAGCGCGCTACCACTGCACCACAATATCTTACTGCAAGTTGTAAGGCCCAATACGTATTACAATACTATCTATACACACATGACTTACGTTTTATGAATTGCACTGATCCATGCTACATGTATGTTTACAACGGTATCTTCAACAGTATTGTTCACCAATATTGACCTGGCACTTCATTAATTTTTGGACAGGTCATATGAATAAACATTCACCATTGCCTATCGATATATTTGCTAACTTCACTCGTCATTGTGGTGTGGTGTATTGGTATAGATGTCAGACTACCGATCTGAAGGTCTCTGGTTCGATGCCTTACCAACACCACGTTATGATTCTTTTTAAAAAATTAATCGCAAGAATTAATTTGAACTCGTTTTACTACACCTGGGTTTAGAATACCTTTTAAATGGTGTATTTATGCTAAATTATGTCTTTTATTTCATTAATGTGTCTTTCAACTACTGTCTTTTTGTGACATTATGCAATTGTATATGCTTAAACGCATACACGCTATAAAGGCGGTTATTTAAAATTATACATAGGTAGTACACACAATAAAAAGGTTTTAAATAGTTTAAAGGAATCATTATTATGGCAATTTCAAAATTGAAATAAAAAAATCGCTGAAACAGGATTCGAACCTTCCAGTCTACGTTTACATTCTTCAATTCAAAACTCTTCACCATCTGCTTTAAGAGGGAATTGTAATTTACACCATTTTAACAATAAGATACATGTATTTGTATTCATATTGATTTACAAGTAGATCGTAACGTTTACGGAATATACCAACTACAGGGTCAAATGCATGAGTGCCAGGTCAATGTTGTTGAACAATACTGTTGAATTTTATTGATTTCGGAACCGTTGTCAACATAACATGGATCAGTGCACTACAGAAAAGGTAAGTCATGCGTGTATGGATAGTATTGTTATACTTATTGGGCATAATTATTTGCAGTGTAAAGTTAGCGCGATTGTCTATTAACTACAAGTATACTGGTGTGGTTCAAATCCCAGCATTTCCATTTTTTTAAATAATATTTTTTTTCTCAATGCACGGGTACTTCGCAAATGTGTGTCATGCATATAAAAACACAATAAACAAACTCTCATTCTGCATTTTAAGGAAACTATTACTGTCTCGAAAAGACGAAAATAGTATCTAATAAGTCATGTTAAATATAATTCAATTGAGCATTTTTGCTACAAGTGACATAATGGCTTGCAACGAAAATTATCTATTTATTGCGAGCACGCGAGTCCTGAGCTGCTTTGTTGAGGTTGATATTGTGGCGCTGTTTTAGGGACGTCATCACATTTTTTTTCTACTTGATTTCGTTAGAAACTTGTCATCGCAAAAGTGTTATTAGGTGCATTGACTATTAGCACAACAGTGTCTGCTGGAAGATTATAGGGATAAGCTTTTGATTAAGGCACTTGATGAAAACCTCGCCATTCATTTCTCCGTGGCTATTACCTATTGAGGTACTCTCTTCGCACTGGAACCAAACACGCCAGCTACAGCGCGATTGAGAGTGCCACGGAGGTTGAAGGCATTGTTTGCATGGTTGAATTGAATTGAATTATAACTAAAACATTCACGTGAATAAAAACATGGAAATTATAATACATGTAAATAAAATAATTAGTAAAAAATGAATAATAAAATACAAAGGTATATCCCCCTTATGGGATTTGAACTTTCGACCTCATAAGATTTCCCATTTTTGTTCATATTTGAATCGAGAGTACCTGTCTGGTAAACGCAATAACCAATGCTGTACGCGATAAACATATACAAAAGCGCTATATCGTAAAGGTGTTTGCATTTAAATTTAGAATCACTTGTGGCGATGAATACATACTCAAAATTATATTATCGAACCCTTGTCGCCAAACAAATAATAAAGTTTTAACTCCAACAAAATGTCAGTTCAATGATTAATTTACATCAGCAAAATTATAACAGTATATTTATTTTCATCCCACATAAAGAATCATTATAATCAACATAAAAGTATCATTAAAAATTAAATAAATAACGGACAGATTCTATGTATATGACTGACTATAATAGAACGACTTGTTGACAAAATAAGTTGGAGTTATCAACGCTCTCTTTTTTTATCCCAATAGAAACATTTAAATATTTGTAAAAAAAAACATGGTTCAAAGTATCTAAGAGTAGTCTACCCGGTTTTGATCTTGTAATCATATTGATTAGAAAACACATATTAAAACAATTGTCATCAAAGTGCGTATTTTTCCAGTATTCCTTTCAGTACGACATGAATTCAAGTAGCAAGAAAGTCATTCAGATCCTTTTCACAGTGGCCAAATTTGTTTAATAACAAGATCAGAACAAGAAAATATTTGTTTCAAGCGGAGAAAGACGTTAAGAAAAGAATGACCTCTTGTTTTGTATTTAAATAGTTTTGAAGTATATTCAATTCAAGCACAACGCATCATAAGTTGATATTCCATATGAGATAAAAGTAATATAATTCAAATCTGGGACACATTAAATAAAAGAGAAATTTAAAGAATAATTAAATTGTTGTTTTTGTAAATAAAACACATGTATACATATAACATGACTTACAGGGAAAATGACATATAGTTGTAGTAATTCAAGGCTTACATTGTTTAGGGCATAGCTTCAGACGTGCTTTGAATTATCAGCAGAACTTACGAAAATCTTTAAAATTTAAAAATGGCATTTGCCTTGTTAACAATACTTTTCTTCCGGTCTTATTTATTTATTTATTTCGTTGAATAAATGAAAGTAAATAATTATAAAAAAAAATCGCCGGCATTATCTTGGCGAGTGACCCATTTATTTTTAGGGGTTTGTTTCTTCTAGTAATATAGAATTCAATATGTGGTATTTTTAAGAGATGTCGAAGATTTAACAAATAATTAAATTTAATAAACTTTCGAAAAAACATGTACACATTCTCGTAAATTGTACGTTAAAATTGTAATATTATATAGGTAATCATACGGTATTTATCAATAGCAGGATGACGTACATTATCAACGACTCGCATGTGTATTAAGCTATACCAAAAACCTTTGAGTTATTGTCTAGGTACCGGAGCTCCAGATCTTCACTAATTAGTTCATATAAAAGGCTAAATAAACATTTGAAGAAAGGAAAAAGTGCATACTTCAAGCCAGTCCACCGTTACACAATCGGAACGTCCTCGGCTATTATCTATAATAACCTATTGAAAGTAGGTCTACCATGTGGTTTCAGATATAAACATAAACAGAGATTGCAATCTTCGGTAATGTAAACGAATGTATATATTTGACATACAAAGGAATATAAAGTCATAAAGTACAATTATGATTGAAAATATGTCTGACAACCGTTATTTTGCAATTTAAATATGCCCACTGATGTATAATTTTAAACATATTCGACTAATTTTCAACAAAGTGGCATTTTGTACTTTCAGTTTCAGAATCTACAACCGTAATAGTCAATATATAACTAATGTATTGTTTGCTTTTGTATCTATGAATTCACTTATTTCAGGTGGAAATTTATTTGAAATATTGGAAATAAACTTGTTAACAACTCCCAGCATGTTTACATGTTTAGTTTCTTAGAGTTGGTTAGTCCGAAAATCCGCATCCGTTCTGTGTATTCATACTATTGTGTTCGAGGTCCTTATTCGAAGACTGACGGAAAGGGCCGAAAGTTGCGATTGTACCGTTACATCGAGTTTTAGCATAGTAAAACAAAAAAGTTGACGTGTGTATTGTTT